CCTCAGAACGGATAGTTTTGATGCCGAGTTGTCTACACTCGTTCAGGATGTCAGAACGGTCGTCGATGAGACAATGCGCCTGAAGAGCGGAGATGATAGAGGATTTGCCCTGCCTACCGCAAGGATAGCGTGCCAGGTGCACTTCTCTAAACGGCAATCCTTCCGAAATGAGCTGGCTAATCACGTGCTCAGCGCCTGCTTTGGTGCTGTCAATCTTGGATTGGCCGGCGTATGAGACAATGTGAAACTCGATTTGATTACCAGCAATCCTAGTCAATGACCGGGGCTTTTCAACTAAGTGGGAAGACAACTCACCTACGGGGTTGAGAGCCTGGTCAATGGTATCGTGCCAGTCGATACAAACAATTACGTTGGATGTATTAACGTGGACTACCTTAGAGACTAAGTTGGGTTGGTGCTGGTAATGTCGCGGCACGGAGCCAGCGACCCCCTCTGGCCGATCTGGTGTTGGGTCAGGCAAAGGCCGCCCACGGACGTGGGGTGCAAGGCCAGAACCTGAACTTTGCTCTTGATGCGGCTGCTGCTGTCCTTCGGGATCGGGTGGAGGAAGATCTCGGGACGGTTGACCAGCAGGTCTTGGCCCACTAACTCCTGGCGGAGGGGGTTTTACGGGCTTGAGATTAGCTGGATTAGGGGGAACAGGCCTATTAGGTCTTGGGGGAATTACCACAGGTGCAGCAGGTGCAGCAGGTGCTGCAGGTGCAACTGGCGTCGCAGGTGCAATGTGCACAGGCGGATGCTTCCAAGGCAGATTCTTCTTAGGCTCTGGAGCTGGTGGTAAGGGTTCTGGCCTTTGGGGCGTGTCGGGGACAGCAGCCCCCTTTGCACGGATTGGCACAGGAACAGAACTAGCTCTTTTGCGAGTCTTAGATGAAATCTTATTTGAAATTGGTACTTCCCTTCCCCTTGTTGTTCTGGCAGCAACTGCGGGTGCAGTCTCGGCTGAGGGTGCTCTTGACCTGGATCGGGCAACGGGAGAGCCGGCTGGCTCTGATGCAGTCTCTGTCGCGACACGGGCTGTGTCAGCGACCCCACTTCCAGCACTTTGCAAGGACTGCCTCCAGGGAGGATAAGCTGAACTACTAGAACTGCTTAATGGGGGAACAGTCAAAGATGGTACTGTAGGGGCTGCTGGTGGTGGTGCAGCAGAAACTGGATCTTTTCTGGGCTGTGCCGGCTTATCACGTTGGATTCGGGAGGTTCTTATGTTAGGACGCTGTCTCTTTGGTGGAGACTCGATTGGACGGGCAGGGGTGCGCTCAGCAAAGCCAGCGTCGAAAGGTTCTTGCTGGCCGACAAATGCCTGACCTGATGAAACAAACCTGGCGGTTCGAGTCTCAGCTGTTTCAGAGCCCTCAGATTCGGTATCGGGGTTATTGGTGGAGATATTATAGACACTGTTGGGGTCTAAGTTACTTGAACCAAGAACAGTCCGATGGGATCTAAGTGCAGGATCACGCCACAACGAGTCGGGAAGCTCGTGTGGGTTGACCCGGAGCTCTGGTGCCGCGGCGTGAGGCACAATAAACGGCAAAGTCTGCGGCGCGTACGCGATCGGAGGATCAGCGACCCTAGCCCAGGTGCCAGCGGAGTCAATTCTAATTTCGGGGTAACCGTGTACTTGGGGTCTTAAGGCAAGAGGTCTTCTAGAAACACCGGTTATGGCACGGGCTCTATAAAGTTCTTGATTAAGTTCAATTCGTTCACGGGTTTCCCTTGGGACTAGATTGACAGGCAATGGCGGGGTAGACCTATTTCTTTTAGGCCTACGACGGCGCGTGGAAACCTCACGGCCGTGCTCGGTTGTTGCAAAGTCAGGGAATTCAGGTTCTTCCTCCGCCTCGACCTCAACTTCAACTACCTGGTCCTCCTCAAAAACTTCCTCTTCTTCCTCCTCCTCCACCCACTGCTCCTCTTCAGGCGGTGGATCGTTGGGACCCTCCGGAGCAGCCTCTTCTCGCGCCTCTGCAGGTTGGGGATCGCGGGCAGCGAGCTCCTGTGCAGTTGGCGGCGGATGAGATGGTGGTGGTGGTAAAGGTGGTTGTTTATGAAGGGTCGGACTAGGGGGAACGTTACTAGGTGGAGGTGGCAAATTTTGAATTCTATCTGCAAGGGTTGTGGCACTAGAATCAGGAGCTTTGGGCCTAGCTTTAGCTGGTGGCTTAGCAGGGCTAGCAACTGGGACTGGTGCTACGTCGCGCCCAAAGGCAGCGACCCCTTGAGAATCTGACTTTGGGGCTTGTGGGACTGGATGGACAGAGACAGTAACCCTTGGACGCGGTAGCACTGCTGGCTCAGGTGGCCTTCTCAAAGAAGGTTGCCAGTTCGGCGGTGGATGCCCAGGCTCTTTTGGCCCTTGCTGGGCCGGAGTTGGTGCTGAGCTTCCAGTTGCCGCGCCAGCAACGGGTGTTGCGGCAGCAGGCCTTCCCGCTTTTGGACGGGGTTGCTGTTGCGGGCCTACGTATCTATAATACCTATCCCACTCTTCTGGGCGCGGGTGCTCTGCCCCTAGGATGCGTTGATTGATGATCCTTTTAGGGGGTAGTTCACCAGAGTTAATCACTTGTTCACCGTGAGAAATACCTCTGCGCCTGTCCAAACCGTAAGTATGAGCCCACTCTTTGTACGGGATGAGGATCTGATAGGCTAAAGCTAAACACTGTGATGTTGGGAACTCCTCAACAAGTCGTGAATGAAGAGCTATCAACCAGCGAGTGCTTTCGTCGGCTTGTTCGTAAGGAATCTTTCTTAACCAAAAGCCACCTATGATATCCCCTCCGGAATTATGATACAGCCAATTTTGGTATGCCTCGAAGTCGTTCCACCAAGCTCGCTTTGCTTCTTGCCACCTGGTTGTGGCACCACCCCTACTCGACCTAACCCTCTGGCGTGGGGGATTGGATGAAGTTGCGGGGGAATGGCCTACCTGGATAGGTTCGGTGCCGGGTTCAACAAGATTAGGGCTAGTTGGTGGTGGGACTATTTGATCGGGGCAACTAGTGTTGGCTTCTGTCGCGACACCGGGAGTGTCAGCGACCGCAGGCTCAGGCACGGATGCAGATGGTTCGGATGCAACGGATGCTTCTCCTACTGGACCCGCCTCGTCACCTAAACCCAAAAGATCAGTTGTTTCAGCTTCGTACTCGGCCTGTTCCGGAAGAGTTGAAGATTCTTGCTGAGGATCTGCTTCTTCTTCTTTTGCTCGATCAATGTCCGTGAAAGCAGCTTCTGCTGGGTTACCCAAATCAGAAGGTGGTTCCAAAAATGACTGATCTTGAAGTGAAGTGTCAACCTCGATATCCTCTGTCGCGACGGGCTCGTCAACGACCTCTTCCGGCAAACCAATTGCTGAAATTACTGCACTGATGCTCTCGGCCTCGTGGATCTCCTCCTTAACCTCTACCAGTGATCGTTCCTGATCTGCAGAGTCTGTCACAATGGAGTCGAATCCAGACGGCGCGGGCGCTTGTACCTCAGACAGGTCGGCCCAGCTTTGAGATGTCTCAGCTACTGGTTCAGCAGGCCACGGAGGGGACACCTCAACGCTTTCTGCTTCCTCAGCTGCCTCGACTCCCTCGGCTGATGTTACAGTCGCGCTGGAATCAGCAGCGACCTGTTCCGAACTGCCTGTGGGCATGCAACAAAGAACAGTGAAGTGCGAAAAAGAAGTTAGGGCCTAAGGCAGGTTTTACCGGATTAGGTTCCCCAACAAAGCCTTACGGCTGATAACCAGTTAAACAGGGGGTCGAACCAGCCACCCAAAAGAAAAGGGGGAAACTAGTCCGGCAAACCCTGCACATGCGAAAAGCACCTTTTACTGACAAGGCACTTGAGCCAAAATGGTCAATGGCAAGACACTATACTTAACCCAGGTAGTTGTTAGGGTTAAGGGTACTCCCATTTCTACCTACAACCCTCTACATGTATAACGCTTCTATACATGTGGTGCTACAACTGTACATGTATTGAGATGTACTACTTCGGACTATTGGTTCTCATAGCTACGGCAGTGCTCTACACATGACCTACTACCTATGCTATACATAGTGGGGCTCAGGGGTCGGTATATTTCAACTACTATATATGATATATATAAATATGATATATATATATATATGATATGATATATATATATATATATATTGTAAAATAACCATACATCCATACATATTAAATATATGGCAGTGTGTCAAAACCTTGTACCCCTGGTGAACATCAAAATAGCTGGCAAATGGATGTTCATCCCCCTAAAAATGGTATTAATAGGTATTGATCCATACCCATATATACATATATGTAATAATCATGCCCGGCCTCCCGCACTGCCCTTGCGCCCGCCTTGGCGAGGTTCACTTGTAGGAGTCGATTCACCTGGTCGTGGGGTCGTGCTGTCGTGCTGTGAGATCACCGGGGTGCGTTACCCTGCAATGAAATTTTAATGGAAAAATCATGCAATTTTAATGCAATGTTAATGGACTTTTAACTGACTAGGACTTTTAATGGGATTTTAATGTGATTTTAATAGGATTTCAATAGAATTTTATTGGATTTTACGTGTGGTTCAATGCAATTTTAATGGAATGTCAATGCAAATTTAATGGAATTTTAATGCAATTTTAATGCAACTTTAATGGACTTTTAATGCAATGTCAATGAATATATATATATATATATTATATATATATACATATGTATATATATATACGTATATAAATAGATATAGTTAAATAGATATAATTATATATATATACATAATTAAATAGATATGATTAGATAGACATAGATATAAATAGATATAAATAGATATAAATAGATATAAATAGATATAAATAGATATAAATAGATATAAATAGATATAAATAGATATAAATAGATATAAATAGATATAAATAGATATAAATAGATATAAATAGACAGCTAAAAATATCCATAAATGTCCCAGTTCCACGGAACCATGTTCACCGACGCCGTCACATTTTTCACGCTCTCAGCGTCTCGATGAACTTCCGCAACGTCTCACGCTGCCGCTGTGTTTCCGGCACCAGGCAGTTGTCGTAGTTCCTGGCAGCTATTGGGTAACTACAGTTGGTTTAACCTATATCAATCTATTAAAATTCAAATGGAGGTTTCCTAAAATAAAGTAAGCTATCACAAGGTGGTGCCCCAGTGAGCGATTCATCGCTAAGTTGGTGCGTTTATAACTCCAATTTGACTTATGGTTTATGGTAGATATATTGACATACTTACTATGGTTTATATACCAACAAACATCACTGGGGGGGCGCCACATTGTATAGTTATATGGGGATGGGTCAAAACCTTATACCCCTGGTAAACATCAAAATAGCTGGGATTTATGGATGTTCCTCGCCAAACAATGTATTTCTAAATATTGATCCATAGCCATATATATATATTATATTTATATATATATATATGAGACAACATAGATTTTCCCAACAACAGCGCAATGGTTCTGCGGCTTTCCTGGAATCGTATCCATCTTGTAGGCGACTTTCCACCTGGCCGAGTGGGTCCCAAATGGCCAACGACATGTTTTGGGGACCACTTTTCCTGGGAACATCAGGAAACCCCTCTGGTAATTTAACATAGCTATTCAAAATGACCATTTATAGTGGATTTTCCCATTAAAAATGGTGATTTTCCATAGCTACGTTAAATTACCAGAGGGTATAGATTTACAAGGCAACTATTGAGGTTTTCCCAGCACAAAATGGGTTGCAACTTTGCAGCAATTCTGTTTGTGATGTTTAAGTGGTCTACCTCTAGTTACCGCAATGCAAGGTACTAGTTGATCATTCCCAATATAGGACTATGAAATAACTGAAACCAGAAACCAGAGTAATTTGCCATCCACCGTGTCCAAGAATCAGAGCCGCCGTCGCCTCGTTCGGCGAGAGGTCGTACAGCCGTGCCAGCAAACAACCTGCCAGGATTTTTCCAGCGGATTGAACGAAGCATCCTGGCTCTTACAAAAATCATCCAGGTATCCTCAGGTCCAGAAAATTCCAAGAAAAGTACCCTCTGGTAATTTAACATAGCTATTGAAAATGACCATAGAAATAGTGGATTTTCCCATTAAAAATTGTGATTTTCCATAGCTATGTTAAATTACCAGAGGGTATCATCCAGGAATAGAAAAATATACCAAAAAACACAAGTATCATCCAGGTATAAAAACAGATCTGTCAGCGTCTGCCAGTGCCAGACCTGCCACTAGGTTGCTTCTTCCGCGGCCTGACGCTGCAACGATGGGCGCAACGATGGGTGGAACGATGGGCGGCAATGATGGCGCGAATCTCAAAGATGACAATACCCTCTGGTAATTTAACATAGCTATGGAAAATCACCATTTTTAATGGGAAAATCCACTATAAATGGTCATTTTCAATAGCTATGTTAAATTACCAGAGGGTAACAAAAATAATAAAAACACATGTTATTCATATCATCAATCATTTGGTAACATTCATATCACCAAATAGATTTATTGGTGTTCCAAAAATTATTGACACAAATGAAACATCTGGACATATGGCAATTAGTTTTTTCATCTGCAATGGCTGGAATTATTGTAGAACCTGATCATGGCCAATATCTTCGATGGCATGCGGCATCTGGGGGAAAAATCGTATGTGGAATTCTTCGTCATTCAACCATAAAAATGGGGAGTTAATTTGATATTACTGGGTATATAGTGGGATATAATCCAGAGTAATATGGGGATAGGGCAAAACCTATATTTTTTTGTATGTCGTTGCCATATCTTGGGGAGTGGAACCATCCAGCTATACCAGCTATGACTTAGGGTACCATCCGGGTAGCGTTTGGTTTCAACCCGTAACCACAACAACTGTGCTGGATTCACAGCATAGATTGTGGCGGGGGCATTCACTTATCCGAAAATAGGGGTACCCCTAAATCGTCCAATTTAGATTGGGGTTTTTCATTATAAACCATCCATTTTGGGGTATCCCCATTTTAGAAAACATCCAAATGAGTTGCTGGAAGTTCTAAGGCGGACACAATTCAATGACAAACAGGGAGAACGTTTTAGCCTCTTAGAGAATTGCGCCTGTATAACTTCTTCCTGAATGAAGAATTCATTGCCGTGTTTGATTGCCGCAATGATCAAGTTCCACTATTTGGAGACCAACAAATCCATGTGAAATACCACCAAGCCTGGGATTTAAATTGTTAGTTTCCCCAACCATTCAAGGTACTTATCAAGAATTGTTATATAAGTTATATATGCCCAAGTATGGGTCAAATTTCGGTCAAATGGGTGAACAACAATTTATGGGGGTCGGTTGATTGAGGTTGCTACAAATTGTCCAAATCGTTGGTTGCATTGAAATATTGTGCTGCTTGAACCCCCACCATTTCCTATTTAGGATATTCCCGCTGAATATTTGTGGTTCTTAACACACAATCTTTTGATGGTCGAATTGAATTGTCATGGTTGACACCCAATTTGTGCTTGTTAAGTTGTAATATCGGAAAGGCGTTTCACAAGAATGTGATACATAATAAAAGGATACAAAAGGAATAACCAATCAGCTTGGATGATTATGGACCCGCGCATTTAAGCAAACCGCCATGTGCCATCTTAAGATGGTCCACGTCCAAGATGTCTGTGTAAAGTATCGACACTCACTTATGCCCACATCAATATGATTCGGAAACCCAAGTTGACTTAACTAAATGGTGATAGTATATGTTATAATTATAATATGTTATAATTAACCAATGTTTTTGTTGGTAAATGATCCTCCCAAGTCATCAAAAAGAACATCCTATCCATCACCGCCTCCCATGCAGTGCACCAGGATCCTTTCGCCTTGCTGGATCTGTGCCTGTCGTGGCGCCGCCACCAAACATTGAGATTTAACCATGGAATCATGAAGAAATTTGAGAAACTATGGATCACCCAAAGATTTCACCCAGAAAAATGAGATTTAGCCATGAACATAGGAAAATGCTGATTTAACCAAGGATTTTCTGGTGGTTTAATGGGCTTTACCAACTGATTTGGATGACATATTGGCTATATAGGTCACGTGTATTTCACGTGACCCCCATGAATACCGACGGTGAAATTTAGCATATTTAGCCCCCGGAAACGACCATAAATTCTAGGTCAACTTAGCCATCACCTTGTGTTGAAAGGCGTCACTCCTTGTGTTTTTTGTCTTCAATTCCTTTCAAGACTGGTTGGTGGTTGACCCACCTACCCCTCTGAAAAAATGATGGACTTCGCCAGTTGGGATTATGATATGGAAATATGTTTGTATTACCAATCTTCACATATATTAGTCAGTTGGGATTATTATTCCCAATATATGGAAAACATGTTCCAAACCACCAACCAGTATACGTTCCAGGTGGTTTCAAAGCTTGAACATGTATCCCGAAAGCATCCACAAATGTCATGATTTGTTTTGCTGAAAGTGTCGAAGAAAAAAAGCAAATTTAACTAACGGACAACATGCATTAAAACTAAAATAGATCAAAGGGATACATCAACTGCTTGAATTTCAGATTAGATATGGATACAACCCTTCGGGAGGCCGTAGGATGTAGGGATGTTGCCTGAATGTTTTGAGGAAGCCAACATTGGATAAACCAACAAAAGTGATTTGTTGGTTACTTGGGTGTCTCATCCCAGGGATCGTAAGTAGGTTAGTTCACCCGACAGTCAGCCTAGTGGATAACCCGACTTATCCTACTACTTATAACCAACTTAGTAAGCCTATAATCATATAATTATAGATACCCTACTTTGATAAGCCTAGTTACTTAGGGTTACATCAGCTTCGTCAGCCTAGTGGATAAGCCTACAATCCGACCAAACCAGGGTGAGCTAACCTAGGATGGGTACTTCGCCACCCAGTACAGGATGGCCACCCCCCAGTTGTAACATGTTGTGTTTGTTGTTGGTGAACATAACCCCATCGAAATTGATGTTATTTAAGCGTATCATACACCAACTTGTTATAAAATGTTATAACATTATAACATGTTATAAACCAACTTGTTATAAAATGTTATAACATTATAACATGTTATAAACCAACTTGTTATAAAATGTTATAACATTATAACATGTTATAAACCAATTTGTTATAAAATGTTATAACATTAAAACATGTTATAAACCAACTTGTTATAACATGTTATAACATTATAACATGTTATAAACCAACTTGTTATATAATATTATAACATGTTATAAACCAACTCAGCGAACAAAATGGGCCCCATCTGTCGCTTGCGGAGGTCCATAAGCTGGTCCCTCTTCTATGGGCTGGATCTGTTACATAGGCTGTTACATAGCTTAATCAACTATGTTTCTACAAATAGTTTGAACATGTTGGTATAACCCTAATTTAAAAACTTTAACCAACTTTTTACCAACACTTCCCTGTATTTTTCACAATTTTGATGGCGTACAAAACAGTCGGAACATGTTAAAAAGATCAGTCGGAAGATCCCACGACGGTCCCACAGGTCTTGTTGCCTCCAAATCCTCCGTGAAAGCCAACAAATGCTCGTTACCTGTCTGTCGCTGGTGGAACCGTGGAACCATGTTCGAAAATCTGAGTGATTTACCATCTGGTTATTTGACATAGCCATGGAAAATCACCATTTTTAATAGGTAAACCATCTATAAATGGGTCATTTTCCATGGCTATGTTAAATAACCAGAGGGTACCAACAAACTGATGGACATGAACAGTGTAATCAATGGCAAAGCTATACATATCATCTGCACGAACGAGAGTCTAACCAAACAACATGAACTGGTTGGTGGTTGAACCCCTCTGAAGTTATAGTTACCAATGAATTCATCTAGGTATGAAAATGAAGACCCATTGTTTGCCAAGGAAAATATCTACAATTGGTCGGTTTTTCAGATCTATGTTGAACTGGAGGCTACAGAGCAGTACAAGGTACAACCGGAAGTATTAGCGGTAACTTTAAAAAACTAATAACCCTCTGGTGGGCTTTGCACCAAGGAATTTCCTAACCAAGATGGACCAAGTAATTTCTATCTCCGAAGTGGGATCAACTATCAATTTTTGATTCGCCAGTGATTCCGGAGATTAATTTTGACTAGATCCATAGTGTCCATATTTTCTTTATCCCACAAGTTAAGGACAAACGCGAAAAAAAAAAACATGAAGCTAAAACCCCCGGATGTCCAAAAAAAACTCATCCTTTCGATCATTCCCATGTTTAATTTTTGGTTTGCTTAATGAGCGCAAGTATCATCAGTTTTGATGGGCCAATCCTACCCTCTGGTAATTTAACATAACTATGACTATGGCAAATCACCATTTATAGTGAATTGTCACATGAAAAAAGGTGATTTTCCATAGTTATGTGACAGTTTACCAGAGGGTAATCAAACGTTTGGTAAAGTCGGTTGTTGCTGAAAAACTTTGAAGACTTCCAGGCTTCCAGGTTTAACCCAGATCTTCGTCAGCCGCATATTTTAAGTGGTTTAGAGTTACCCTCTGGTAAACCAACATAGCTATGGAAAATCACAATTTTTAATGGGTATATCAACTATAAATGAGCCGTTTTCAATAGCTATGTTTGTTTACAAGAGGGTACAATTTGGGTCAAGACTTGCAGTTTTGGTTTATCAAAAGAATCAGTTTCAGTGAACATTCCCATTTCATGGTTCCCGATTTTTCACGAACAATCCCATCCGTTTTTTCTCAATGGCTCAAAACCTGTAGTTTTGAGAGCTCAAATATCCCCAAACATTCTTCATCAACTATCTCCCCGCATGTACTGATTCAAACTCGTATTTGGTGATACAACTTCGAAAACTTGGGTAGTCAAATCTGGTTTATTGACTAATTCTCACATATATATATATATATATTGATTATATATCTATCCCAAAATCATGTTTTGGGATGATTAAAACCCGTTATACCATATTAATCCATATTTTTTTAGGACGTTCACCAACTATTTGATGCGATTTCAGGCACTGCAGGGCACCGGACCAGCACCCAGGAACCGCACCTGGCACCTCCAAATCTCTCATCGGCTGGTGCACAAAGTGCTGAGCGAGAGGAAACTTGGAGATTCTATAAATATATGATGGGGCCCCAGTTCGTTAGCTAAGTTGGTTTATAACTACAATAACAAGTTGGTGTATGATACGGATACGCTTATATAACTATATTTAGATGGGGTTATAAACCAACAAACATAACATCTTATAACTGGGGGGGTCATCCTGTAGACTAGTTTTTTAAAAAAATGGCTATTACTAGAAAATCCTTCTATTATATATATATATTGTATATGTTAATTTCACCTATTGTTATATCTCTATATATATAGATATATATGGAGGTTTTTGAAAATGGGGACGCCCAGTCATCCCTGTTGATAGGATTTTCAAGTTGTAAATCATCTAGCGAGCTTGGGATCTAGTGGGTAACCATAGTTGGTTTAACCTACAAGGTCTTCCAACCGCCAAATGATCAAAGGTCGCGCAAGCAAGTCCGTCAGGACACGGCAGGAAATGTGGTCGCCCCAAATGGCGCAGCAGTGCTTAACTGCCGAAGCTCGGCGTGGTACTCCACAGTTTGTGGGAACTGTGTTTAGGGTCTACGACTCTGTTAGACAGAGATATTACTTCCTTGGGTTGGTATCTTTGTTTGCTTCACCCCACCTTCCCTTTGTTCCCAAGTCATATTTGCTGTTCGCCCTTCCTCTTGTTCCTCCTTTTGTGCTGCTGGGAAGGGTTTGGGGCAGATCTTGGATCCCCGGCTGGGTTTTGGGTTTGGGGAGGGTTTAGGGCGGCCCCCTGGAGGAGACCAAGGGTTCAGCCGATGGTCTGGAGGGATTACAGGGGTATTAGACCTTAAATAGACATATGAAGAGATGGGTTTAGGGTTTAGGGTTCATATAACACATTGTGTGAGATCTTCTCCCTTGGGTTGATTCTCTCTAGCTTGCTTCACCCCACCTGCCCAATGTTCCCACGTCATACTTGATATTATCGTTCCTCTTGCTACCCCTCCCTTTGTACTGCTCCTTCTTTTTCGGACTCGCTAAGTTGCTACCAATAACTCCAATTTCACTATGGTTTATGGATGTTTATGGTAGATATATTGACATGCCTACTATGGTTTATAAACCAACTTATAACTGGGGGGCACCACCTTGTACGAATGTGGGATTCACTATTCACCCAAAGCCATAAACATCCATAAACCATCCCCAACATCAGCAACAAAATGAGTGCGATAAACAAACCATCCCCAAATGGTAGGTTCGTTTAACCCTTTGGGTGTTCCCCATTGGGGATGGACATTTCATGGCTATCCTCATGAGACAACCCCAGTTTTTCTTATGTGTATAGTAAGCCCCAAGAAGATAGAAATGTCAAATCCTACTCAAGTAGTAATAAATCACAAACGTCTATCTTTTTGGGGTGTACTATAGAAACTAAAGAGCACTTGGGTTCAAGCAAACAATAGAAATGGGGATTGAACAAAACTATGACAGCGGAAGAACCGTCAGCACTGCCATGAGGCAGGATCCCCATACTGAAAATGAGAGAAATGGCAACATCACTAATTTAAAATCATCTAAATATATCTAAATCTCTTACCACTGTGAAAACCGTGTAATTTTATGTTGTCTCAAAATTTCCTGATTGAACAAGAAGGAAACTTGAGCTGCTGACCCGCTTTTGGTGTCTGTTGGACGATCTGCATGGAAAATGATTACGATGCTGTTGCCAGCGCTGTCAGAATGCCAGTGACCAACTGAATGCTGTTGTTTTTTGTTGCTCCAAACCATCAGCGAAACCTCTTCCGGGAGACAGTTCGCACGATTCCCACGAGGGCCCGTGGAGTGCTGGGCTCAGAGGCATGACTTTTGGGGAGTTAGCTTCCGGTAAACTAACAGTTTGCTTTTGACACTGGCCATTTATGGTTGAGTTACCCATCAAAAACTGTGATTTTCCATTGTTGTGTGACAGTTTACCAAAGGGTAACCCCAAAATATGGATACCAGGACCAGAAGCGGTGTCAAACGTGGAACAAAATGACACATTTAGTAACCGATGATTCTCCCAGCTAACTGCAGCAAACCACCCCCGAGCAATCACCATTTTTATGGCGGGGATAAAAAAAAACATCCCCAAATGATGGTAAGTTTATGAGATTGGGGTGCCCACATTATACACATTCAAACCCCAGTCACAGTGCAAAGTCTAGCGTATTTCTTTGTACGTATTTGTATCTAATTACATCTAATTACTCAATTACATATCATCACACACAGAACCAATTTGTGACGTTCAATTTCAATATCATATTCTAGGTTATATATCCCAACCACATTCATGAAATATCCCTTATAATCATGGGTGTAATACCACCATTTTTGGTTGCTAACTTTGGTTGACAAATGCAGATTCCAATCTTAAGAGCAACACGCCGGAAGCCCTTCCAGGGTCCGCACCAGCTTCCGAACAGCCAGTTGCCGGGCCATTTTGGCGTAGGGAAGGCACCTTTTGCCAACAAAAAACATGGGTTAAAAACAAGAGAGGAGATGATGATGATGATGATGATGGTGATGATGATGATGATTTAACTTTTTTTAGTGGGATATCTATCCATTTACAACTAGAAATCGGTACCCCGAAATGGTGTCATCAGCTCCATGGCTAAATGGGAAATCCCCTTTAAATGTCAATGAACAGGTGAAATTGAAGATAAAACACTACATATAGGTTATACCAAGTGTGTGTATATAAATAGACTGTATATAAATAAAAAATGTATATATATATATATATATATGTACCAATGGACTGCATATTAATGGGCTATATCAATATGTTCTATTAGTTATATACCACATTTAATGAACTGAACATATAGGTTACAATGGTTACAATCTGACTAAGATGCGCATCCAAGTACAGGACCCCTTTATAGGTGAGTTCTCCCTCACAAACAATGGTAAATATCCAGGCCCATTGTTGCTGTAATTTTCATAGTCGAATATCAATGTTGAAAGAAACCACATACTGGAATATCTACATGGAATATCTACATGGAAATCTCCAGTCATCTCCAGTCATCTCCACATGGAATGAATAATGGCTATCTACATGGAATATATCCAGTCATCTCCACGTATACATGCTATATCATGGCACTAAAAAAGGGATTCCCAACTCATGGATGGTGATAATCTTGTGTGTAATATATGTCACAATAATCATCTACCATCATGTATCACATGATATTCAGTTGTATCACTATATCAATTGTTAATTATCATATAATCATATAATCAAGTCCATATATACACAGATATGTGTGTATATATATATACGTACATTTTAATATCAAATAAGAATATTAACTCAGAGACTCATAGCATCTTAAATCAACCATTACTTATCCCAAAAAATATTGCACATTCTAAACATAATTAATGGTTGATACAGCAAATCTATAAACAAATAAATAAATATAGATTAATCTATATACATATTTATAAACTCGAAGAAAGACTGTGAATATATCAAAGCAAATCTTAAACACACTGCAAAAACAACAACTTAGCTGGCCACTAGATAATCCCATACCAAAAGACTAAAGGATTAAACTATCCATCTAAGATTGACCTATGATGATTGTCCTGTTGATTTCCCCATGGGTATATATTCACAACATGATTACATCGCACGTCATGGTCCCATGTCCTCCATGCTCCGCCACAACAAAGCATAGACTCATAGCTTCTTATACCAACTATGAATTAACTATATAAATATGAGGTGTCCTAAAATGGATGGTTTATCTATTAGCTAACTATAATATATATATATGGAGGTTTCCTAAAATGGGAATACCCCAAAACGGATGGTTTATAATGGAACATCCTATTAACAATGGATGATTTGGGTTGTACCCCTATAGATGCTGAACCTCCAGGGCACTGGTAAAGCTGCCGGCCTTCGTCCCTTGACGTCGATGCCGCCTGCCGGCCAGCTGCGCAAATCTTCTTGGCCAGGCACCTGCGGTCGTGGCACCGCAGCGGTAAACATGAAAAACCTCGAAATTCATAGACACTGTTGTATAGAGATACTGTTGGTTATTAGTTGTATTATTGTATATATCATATATATATATATGTATATATATATGTGATATTTATACACAATATATATATATACATATATAAATATATATCATATTTATCTAATGCACACACCTACATGTCACACAACTATACAAGGTTCACCTACAATGACCCCGGCCCCGTGTTGCTTGCGGCACGGCACCCGCCTCGCTCTGTACGCAAACGAAAGTTGAAATCTCCGCCTGATCCGACCAGAGTGTTTTTCTAATTGAGCAGTGTTCAAAAGCCCTATTGGTTGAACATTGTTTTAAGGAACAATTGAACATTAGTTTATTGCGATCATTAATGGTTCATTTCATCAACCCAACATCAGTTGTAAATCCTCAAAACCCCTATTGCGATCCCTTTAATGGTCTAAGCATGTCTAAGCACAGTTGATTGGTTGAACATTGTGAAAAACCAAATCATTTTGGAGGGTTTATGAGGACTTACAAGGCTTTAACCATCAAGTAATCATATGGGGATGATAATTTATAACTGATGTTGGGTTGATGATTATAGGAGATTATACTGTTATATTTTGGATTATTGGAGATATGATAAATGAAATGGATTCCTATATATTGGGGATTTTCATAGTCTGCTATGTGGGGTTTACTATTAACCAACCAGCATCATGGAATGACAAAGGGCTCTTGAACACCGCTCAATTGTTTTGAAACATGTTGACCCTTAGATACCCAGCAAAATTGCCTTTGTGTTTTCTGTTCAAGAAAGTATCTGAGTCCAAAAAAATCTCTTTCCAATAAACAACCATTTTTCTGGTTGTTTTAACATAGTAGCTATGGAGTTTAGATGGCCCATTTAATTCGATAATTCACCTATTGAAAATTGGTCATGTCCACAGCGAACTGAACAAACGGTTCGTTCAGTCAGTTAGTCACGAGGAGCAATGCTTGACCCCCATCCGAAGCAATGATTGAACCGACTTTCCGCGCAAGGTCAGACTCAGTCTCTTCATACCATGCCTCAAAAACATCACTGCGACTGCTGCGACAAACTCTGGACCAAAAGTCAATGGCAAAGCTGACCAGGACTGCAGTGCGCTCATGGCGAAGTTGCAACGCAGACTGTGGGAGGAATGGGATGAAGTGGGTGGATTCGGGTGGATACTCAACAGCTTGAACGCACAGCTGTTGAAAACGGTTTCAACAATTTCCCAATCCTATGGCTTATCAATCCCCAGTCAATTAGCTAGTATAAGTCCCTAGTTCATAACCAATCAACCAGGGCCTCAAAAACTACCCATTCATTTTTTTGTCAAACACGGCTATCTCGGAAATCCCCAAAGGAAATGGGCATATGTCTTAGGAGAAACTCATCGAAATGTGCGATTTTTCACATTTACTTGGGGGGATGGTCGCTCAGCAGACCGAAATATCACTCATTCTCCTCTGCGCTTTGTTCATGTCTGCATAATGTGGGTAAAACAATAATAAACCACCATTTGGGAATAGTTTCTACCAACTATTTCTGGTGGTTTTTTGGGATGGTTTAGTTTATTATTGTTTTACCACATTACATTCTATATTACTGTGTCTTTTTGATACAAGTAGTGCATCGCAACGACAGCTTGACCCAAACCGGAAGACCGGAATTTACATGAGGCAACAGAAACATATTCACATCGAATGTTCAGAGATATGGAGGTTTCCTGAAATAGGGCTATCCCCAGTCATCGTCATCATCCATTTATAGATGGATTTTCCATGGTCCGTGAACCATACAGCGTTCGGGGGTACCCCCATGACCATGGAGGTTTCCCCGGCCAGCTGATCGTCAAACCGTGTTTCAACAACGGTGCAAAACAACTTCTGACGGCGTCCCTTGATCATCGGGCGTCAGTTTAAGTAGTTGCAAGCCTAGTTTTGCACAGAGTTATGAACATTTATAAATGGGCTTATAACCTTACTTATAGAAGTTATAATTCCAGTTATAACTGTTAAGCACCAGGTCCTGTAGGTTTTAATCGACTGTGTCTCCAACTGATGTGGTCTCCAAGGGATGTTGCGAAAATAGCCAGGGGCATCTTCCGAGTTTTGGGTCACAACAATCTTGAATTATACGCCAATATGAAGATTGTTGCAACCCACAATATTGGGTATCATGGTATATCAAAATTGTTGAACAATACAAAGATTTTCGAAACTTTGGGTCTCTTCAAGACAGATCTTGAATTTGAGGGAGTATGGTAATCTAACATCGCACCAAACGGTCCAATGTGGTGAGTAACAAACATCGCCTTCCACAAGGGGTGCCCTCCAGTGAAATGTTTCTTTGGTTTATAGGAACATTCACTAGATTGATATATCTACCATATCCCCATGTTTGTTGGTTTATAAGCTCCATTGTTGGTTTATCATAAACCATACAACCCTAAACCCTAGATATTGGACTTATAAATCAACTTAGCTAACGAACTGGGGCACCACCAACCGTAGATGTATTGGTTGTAACCAAACTATAGCTGAGGGGCATCACCGCATCAACCCGGCACGGCCCGGCACGGCTGGGCAACGGCTGGCCTCTCGCACCAGACGTTGAAGATGTCTTTGACATGCATCCTGACGTTTTTTAAAACATGGGTCATGGAGTTCTCAATTTCCACCAAATGTCAAGAACAGGAACTGAGTCACCCTCAAAATCAACATCGACCCTTTAGACATAGCGTTTTTTTTTGTGGAAACCAATCTTCCAAGCCGAGTCTTTGGCAGGGTCATGCAGGTCTATATTATTTTTGGGGATGGCAATAAGTGTGTCTGAAAATGTTGGATGTGCCCCAACTTCCATGGCAATTTACTGTGGAAAATGATGATCAACCATCAAAGAAAATTGCTGGTTGGTGGTTGAGCCTACCCCTCTGAAAAATATGAGTTCGTCAGTTGGGATTATTGCTACCAATATATATATATATATATAGAAAATTAAAAATGTTCCAAACCACCAACCAAATTGGGTACCATGTTTCAGTCAGACAAACCTAGATCAGAAGGTCTTCTTCACAATGACTGATGAAAAAAACGGATAGTACGACAGCGTTCTGCCGTGGGCCTAGTTCCAGAATGACTGGGTTTGAAACGACACCATTGCACAGCCTCAAATTGAGCCCTAAACAATATAGTATAATGCAATAGAATACACTACAATATAATACAGTAAAATATAATATACTGTAATAAAATATACTACAATATTAAAGTTGATAAAATATATTTCAATAATAAAAAATAAAAGTGTAATCTAGTAATATAATAAAATGAATTAACATATTAGGTAATATAATGCAATATGATATAGAATAATATGATATAGTAAAAATAGTAAACATATAGTATAGTAAATAAAATATTATATGACAAAACATTGCATAAACTAGTAGTATAATAACATATAATATAGTAAATATAGACTATAATATGATTAAATGACATGTATAGTAAATTATATGCTATAGTAAAACAAATCATTGATAATTTATGCAACCTATAATTATATGTATAAATGATATTAATGTTTATAGTATCTACTATAAATTAGTATATTATCATAACGTAAATAAATGATATACCCTTTGGTTATTTAACATAGACATGGTATAGATGGCCCATAGAAATAGATGGTTTACCTATTGATATAATGGGGATTTTCCATGGCAAAAATGACCAAGTCAGTAGGTTACGGTCCGCTAGTCATAAGCCCACGTATATATATATATATAACAACCAGGGATATACATAGCGGTTATGTCTACATAGCTATTGAAGCCATGACCATAGAAATAGTTGATTTTCCCATTAAAAATGATGATTTTCCATTGTTCTGTTAGTTTACCAGGGATATAACCTACTCAGGATTCGTGGCATGAGCCCATGTGTTGTTTTTCAGTTCGCCAAGATATAAACATCCATTTAAAAAACAAAAAACAAGTCATGTGGTAAACCACATTTCACAAACCATCCAACAAAAAAAACAAGCATTTGGGAACTATCATAAATCCCACTAATAGAGGTATACCGAATTTCATGGATTATCCCATTGGGGATTATATTAATTGATATCCCCCAGGGCAGGTCCTTGTTCTTTTGGATCATGGGATAGCGGCCCACCATCAATTGTCCAGGAGCGATCCAACTTGGATGCCAAAAGGGAGGCAAAAACCATGGGTTTCCTACTTGGTGGCCCATCCCCTTACTAGGTAACTTATATCCCTGGTTATAAGTGGGATAAGAGATCAATCGGTCACAAACCAGTAGATCCGCGAAGTTAGTGACAGAATAGTGATGTTTCAAGATACCAATGCGGCAATGCCAATCCAGTAGGTACGCGAAGACTGACACACTTTTTATGCGGGCATCTTGAGCCAAATGTAATTGGCCAAGTAGTTTGTTGTTACCCCGGATTTCAGGACAACAGAAGATGTTATCATTGCTTGATAACGTATTGAATCGTCTATTCCATGTTGACTCCAAATGACATTATGTACACTTTGCAGTCATTGGGTACAACATGGTACAACGGTCATAGATACTCATGCACAAGATGAGGAGTTGATCGAGTAATTTCATCTATAAGCAGGGTTAATCCAGTTATGACTGGGGTTATGTCATCTACTTACTAAATCGGATGAACCACTCAAATTTAGATAGTCCAAATATAAGGAAACTTGCGGGATATTCATGGGTTTTTGTTCAACATGTGACATCAAATCAATGTTAGGTTTAAGAGAACATCCCTAACTATCTGTTTTGTCTGGTTCGCCATGATCCCCGTCTGGTCAAATCTGAAATGAAAATTCAGTTGGGTCATGTTTGTTAATTATATATATATATATATAAATACACACATAATCATATGGGTGTATACATATATATATACACACATGTACGCATGGATGCATGGATGCATGGATGGATGGATGGACGGATGCATGCATGTATGTGTTTGTCCATACACATATGTGTAATATATATATATATATATGTATCCATATGTTTGTGAATATGTTCATTACATGTGTTAAATGGGGCGAACTAATCAACTTACAAGGTGGTGCTCCAAAATCATATTTGCCGCTTTGTTTTCAGCCCATGAAAACCAGTTCAGCCCATATCTGCCCAGGTCTTGACGATATTTATTATGGGAGGTTCTTAAGTCATGGTGGATTCCCACTCGTCATAGGGTTCAATGACTTTTCTTGTAATGGGAATTCGTTTTGGATCTGGGGGTATCCCCATGACTTGACGGAAACCTCCATGACTATCCAATGGTCCAATCCTGGTGGCTCATCCCACGAATCCTAAGTAGGTTCTAGCCCTTGTTTTTTTTAGTGGATCAACCCTAGTTATCCCACTTTTTTCACCAGGGATATACCCTCTGGTTATGTCAACATAGCTATTGAAAATGGCCCAGTCGAAATAGTGGATTTTCCCATAAAAATGGTGATTTTCCAGTTCGTTATGTGACAGTTCAACAACCAAGGCGCTGCTCATCCCCGAGTCAATCGCCAAGGTACTTCGCCATCTCCGAAAATCGCAGCGACTCGTCCGCCTTTCCTGCTCCAATGAGCGGCCCTTTGAGGCCCAGTTGTTTGGAAATGTGGGGATATGTGTATGAAAGGTACAATGTGGGGCCCACCACTTGTAAGTTGCTGTAAAAAACTCCATGAACTAGTTCGATGTATCATGATATACAGTATCTACCGTAAATATCCATAAATATGAAACTCGAGCTATTGGAATTATCAACAAACTTAGCTATCTAGGGGACCCCACCTTGTACTGTACCTAATTACACCCTAGAATCGGCCCAATCTAAAACATGAGGAAACATCAGCCATGAACCTACCATTAAGGTTCAACCAGCCGATCTCTCCATCCGAAGGCTCTCAACGCTAAAAGAAAATGGCACCTTCCAAACTGGGCAGCGACTGAAGTCTTTCAGACGCTCGGCGCACCTGGGAATGCCAAAGCAATGGAGACATTGGATGTGCGACACCACAAAATGGTGGTAGAACAGGGATATAATGGACATATAATAGAATGTTAGTATATGTATACATAATATATATATATATTATGTATACATAAGTTGGATATACTGGAGGAATATTGATGAAATATTAATGGATTTACCGTTTGTGTCATCAAACATGGAAAATCCGCATGCGATAGCGGTGGAAATCCTATGAAAAAGACTAAGGTTTTTATTGGGGAAAACATGTACCATAGCCATGGAAAATCCGCCCATTTTATAGCTAGGTAAAATCCACTATTTCGATTAGGGCTCTCTATACCATGGCTATGTAACAAATAACCAGAGGGTAAGTTTATGGGTACCAGTATCTGGTTGGTGGTATACCTACCTCTCTGAAAAATATGAGTTCGTCAGTTGGCATGATGACATTCCCAATATATGGAAAGTCAGAAAAACTGTTCCAGGTGAATATTCCATGTGCCAAGTTTGATTGCCGGAGGGTACAGGAAGGAACCCCGCCAGCCGCCAGCTTATCTTTGTTAGCTTACACAATTACCAAAGTCTAGTCTAGATGTATGCACAACAAATCATGGTGAACCTAGTTGTAAATCACCTTTACTCTCTGGTTATTTAACATAGCAATGGAAAATCACCATTATTAATAGCTAAACCATCATAAATAATCTATAAATGGGCCATGTTCCATAGCTATGTTAAATCACCAGGCCGTTAAGGCCAGCCTTAACCGCAAAAAAAACAACTAATACATAAACAAACACACATAATATATATATATATATGTTTTAGATTCATTGGTGGCATTGTCAATGGGGGCTGCCATCCATCTTACGAATTTGTTGGCACACAACAAAAAGCAGCGAATCAGCTCCCAAGTTCATCCAATCTATATCCGAACAGCCGGAGAAACGGTCAGAATGTCATGTCAGATGATGTTAGATGTGAGGTAACATGTCTGAATATAACATATATGTACGAGAAAATGCCAGAATATGTATATGGTTGTATATATATATATGTATATATATATGTATATATATATGTATATATATATATATATGTATATATATATATATACACATATATATATATATACATATATATATATATACATATATATAGTATATTTACATGTATACCTGCATCTTGCAAGAACTGTCAATTTCAGTCCCTACCTCAAGAACAAACCCTAAAGCAGCAGGGTTGTCTTTTCACCCCAAGGTCTGTTTTTTTTGGCACATATCTCATGAACAAAAGACATGCACGTAAACGAGTTGTTCATATTTGGAGTTCTTCATGCAAGGACATGAGCTTTTCATGCAAGGACATGAGTTCTTCATAATATACACATAACAGGAAATTAGTTCTTCATACGACGAGACGGGTTGTTCATACAAGTACATGAGTTATTCATACAAGGAACTGAGTTATTCATAGAGGAAACAAGTTATTCATACATGATAAATGATTCAAACACATATGAAATTCATTCGCACTTGTATGAATAATCAACTTTGTCATCATTAGTCCTAATTTTTGCTGGTTCAGTCACCGCTTTCCCTGGATAAATCCCCATTTCTGTTGGTTGAATCCCCATTCAAAAAAAACACGGCCGGAAATGTGTGGGTCAGGACCGGACAATTCCCCATGCAAGGGCTGGACATTTCCGGTCTGGGATTTGGGCACCCCATGAAGTACCAACTTTTGGACATATTACCCTCTGGTCATTTAACATAGCCATGGGAAATGGCCCGTTCATCGATGGTTTACCTATTATAAATGGTGATTTTCCATGGCTATGTTAGTCATAACCAGAAGGCAATTTATGGGTATTTGTTACCCTCTGGTAAATTAACAGTTGGACCCTGAAAATAAAACATTTTAGAGGAAACCAGTCTTCCAACCCCTATCTGCCAGGGTCTATGTTAATTTACTGGTTGGCGGTTGACCTACCCCTCTGAAAAATATGAGTTCGTCAGTTGGGATGATGACATTCCCAATATATGGAAACATGAAAAATGTTCCAAACCACCAACCAGGTATTTGCTAAACGAAGTGTAAAAGGGTTAATTCGTAATTATTCATAACCCAAGCGAATCCCAATCTCGCAGTCTCCAGGCCTGATGCCGTGTGAACCTTTCCCAAGTCTATTCTACCATGTTTGTTTTCAACATGGTATGTTTTCAAGTGGTGGACAGGGGTTGGATCAACCGACCAATGTTCTCATGAATCCCAAAGGGTATTAACAATATTGTTATGTTTTGCACTAATATCAACATGTTGACAAAAAACATCTAAATCACAAATTCTCCAAAAATGCCAGGGTCTAAAATTTTAATTAGGCTCTGAGACTGAATTTGGGGTTCAAAATTTCAGGCCCTAAGGCCAGGGTCTAAAATAATACCAGGGTGGAAGTTATGTGTATATATATATAAATAATAAATACATATTTAATATAACACAGCCAATTTCAGACAAACATGCCGAAACCACGGCAGCAGAACTTTCAGAAGCATCCAATAGCGTCTCGACAATTTCCTTCAAAAGCGTCAATGCCTTGGCCGCCTGGCTGTCCTCTGCCAGATGTTAGCCAACCACTGATGCCGGTCATCCTTCGTTCTCTGAGCCTGGATGTCACGCAAGCGTACCTGGTTTCAAGAGGAGAAACCACTTCAACAATGATGTAGCACTGGTCTCTAAAAACTTTGTTGTCAGACACAATCTCAGCAAACATTGCCTGAGGCCGGACCAAAGTCGGGATCACTGCAAGATTTTTTAAAGCTATGACATATGTTCACATGTTTGGAATTCCCCAATTTTGGTGTCAAACCCGTGAAATCCAAGTAACAATCCATTTAAAATAAATTTAATCCATTTAAAATCAGAAAAACATCCGAATAACATCCCAGCAAAATCAACATAAAATCCCAACAGAATCCCTTTAACATGGCCGTTCTTTGCTGGTGAACGTAGATAATCCCATTGATACCAAAAGATTCAAGTATTATTTCCTACCCATCTAAGATTGACCAATCAAAGTGGTCAGTTAAGTAGCAGACATATAAATCTAGTAAATCCCATTAGACCCCTTTTAAATCCCTTTAAAATCGATGAAATCCCTAAACAAATCCCCATGAAAATCCGAGAATTCTGCCGCCAAGCAGCTCTAAGAGCTCTGGCAACGGCAAGGCCCAAACCCAAATAAACGCTCCGCTTCCAGGCCTGGTCCAGGAATATATCCACCATTTTTTTTAACCACCCAGATGGTGGTTAATGGTTAATAATAGTGGTTAATAATGTTTAATAATGGTTAATAGTGGTCAATAATAGTTAATAATGGTTAATAATGGTTAATAATGTTCAATAATGGTTATTATTAATGGTTAATGGTTGTTAACCGTTGTTAATGGTGGTTAATGGCTAGTGAAAATGGTGATTTTCCATGATATAACCAACGGGAATGGTTAATAATGTGGTTATATATGGTAATTTAATGGTTATATATGGTTATTGAATTGTTACAATGTGGTTAAGACAATGCCATACACCATCCCATTTTTGATGTTTTATACCAGCTATAAAAATGGTGACTTTGGGAATGTGTTATTATTCTCAACCACATTATTCATCATATTGCATCGTCAATTCGTGACCACTACGGTGAAATACTATCGTATTGTGGTTACATTCTCCAAATGCTTCAAAAAAGGAAATATTTATCAACATTTATATACTTTCAAATCAGAAAAACAAATGGGTAAATCTAGGTGAGCCATATCTGGCAACGAAGACGAGGAAAAAACAACTAGGTCCACGTCAATGATCAACAAGTGGTACTGTACACAATTTCTGTCATCTATTTTTAACCAATGGTCATATATGAGCCATTCAAAATACCCCGATCCCACCTCATGAAATACTAGTTGGTTGAAATCGGTTTCCCTACGGTTTTCATAATCAGTAAATTAGGTCGAACAAGAGTCCCAACAGTTCGTAACCGATCAACCAGGGTATATCTTGTTCATGGCTCATATCTCTGTTTTTTTTTCATATGTCACTAACCTGAATAACTATGCTCCATGGGGCCATGGCTGGGGATCATTTCCCTTAATTACTTATTACTAACTATGATGATAGTGGGCCTCCAGTAACATGACGACGGCAGAATCCGGGGTTGATGTTATTTTTTGTCGTTTCCACTAAGACTTGGTAATAAAATCAGGGTTGTACAGTTAATTTACTGGAAGGTATGTATATATATACACACATGTATGTTTATGTCATTATATATATACACACATTATGAATATATAATATCATATCATATAAATACAATTATATTTACATATATACAAAGCAAATATGATCCATATATCTATATACTATGTCAAATATGATCTACAATGGAATACAATCTATAATTGGGAATCAAATTGGATAATAGGATACAATAGACCTATAATCTATATACTATACCCATATGGATCCAGCCGTACCTTCTTAGGAGGTGTTCGGATCCGTAGAGTATATGTACATCATACATGCCCAATATGTATATCATATCTACATACAGTATATAGATATATATATAGAGATATATATATATAGAAAATAGATATATCATATATCATAAGGATATTTTATCACAAATACATAATATATATATATATGTATATACATAATTTGAATATATATATATATACATATAAATATATATCATTTTAAATATTATAGATCATATACTATACAAGAAATTTATATATTATATTTAATAGTATATTTTTTATATTACATATGTATATGTTGCATATGTTAATAATTAATATGTATAACTGAGTATATGATACTAGACAGATGAAATACAGCTTGAGTATTGTACAATAATTCAGTGTACAGTATAAGAATTTGAGGGGCTCGAATCCAAGGCGGGCTACATATTTTCAGGTATACCAAACACATAGTAATTTAAGAATTTGAGGGACCCTGAAATAGGATTGCCAAATTCTAAAAATCCTGCTTATACGCGAGGTGTGCAATTCCCCTTTGCGGTTCATTTTTTTTGTGGCGTGACCCCTTAGGGTCTTATGGGATGAAATCGGGCTTTGCAGAAAAACAATTTCTCAGGCTCCGATTTTTTTTCGCACATGCACTGCTTCCAATCGGACCTGGAACATTGTTTACCCAATAACTCGGTGAAAACGACATATTGACAGACCCTGTTAGATGCCCAAAAAGTCCCCCATCAGGATTCAAACCTCCGACCTTCAAGGCTGAGGTCCAACACGCTGACAATAACGCTACAGGAGCCTTGCCTTCAAGGAATTTTGCTTTCTGATTCTCTCTCTTTGCTTTGGCTGCAAAGGGCTGTTTAGCATGGGTTGCAGTTGCGGAAAAACAATTTTTCAGGCTCTAAAAACATGTTTTTCCGCACTGCTCTTATGACACTCAGAGAACACCGGCTTTCCAAAATAACAACTTTTCAGGCTCTATTTGTTTTTTCGCGCTATTCTTTGAAACTCAAAGAAGCCCGGCTTTGCAAAAAAACAATTTTTCAGGCTCTATTTTTGATTCCACACTGCTCTTATGAAACTCAGAGAAGCTCGGCTTTGCAAAAAAAACAATTTTTCAGACTCTAAAAAAATGTTTTTCCCACACCAATCTTATGAAATTCAAACAAGCCTGGCTTTGCAAAGAACAAATCAGGCTCTATTTTTTTTTTCGCATGCCTCTTGTCAAATCTGCCAACTCCACCTCGTTACCTCGTTTAAGCTCGCTCCAAATTGTGCAGATGCATGCAATACATAACTAAGAATGCCCTAAGAATTTGAGGGACCCTCGGCCTGTTGTGGTGTAAATTTGCCTGCATTTAAAAATAAGAATTTGAGGGACCCTGGGCCTCAAGCTTTCGGATTCTTAACCAGCGCTCGGGCTGTATTGTATACAAAATATGATCAATTCAGCACACATGCCAATAAATATGCTGCATTCATTGAAGAAAATACATATGCTGTATTTATTGAAGAATATACACCTATCATCAATCGGACAAAATAGACACAACCATTCATGTATCTTCAGAATAAATAGAAGTAAAGTCCTACGATTACTGTTGATCACCTATTATTCATCAAGCAGATCGTAGGTCATTATATCATATAAACATGGTCAATCTTTGATAGCCCGCAAAAAACTAAAGGATTAATTATTTCCTACCCGTCCAAGGTTGGGGAAGATCCATAAATCCGTATAAATTATCTGCCTCAAGCTCAAACCCACTTCCCACCTCCCACCGCTTGAAACCACTCGCGCTTCGATGCAACGTTGGCACCGCTGGCACCGCTGCTTGACGCGGTGCATGCACTCCTGAAGGCCTAGAAAGGCCCAGATGGAGGTGGCGAGTGTGGGAGATTTGAACAACAGAAATGAAGGTCAAAAAACAACAAAATTACGTTGTCAATGTACCAATACGTAAATAGTGCGTGTATATATATATATATATATATATGTGTGTTGTAAACACCCAAGTATGTTTGTATATATATATATATACATACACTATCCAACAGTGTGGATGCATACATGTATATAATTTTCATGGTAAAATAATGGAGACACGAATGGTAATACAATGGGAAAATTTCATGGGATACAATATAGTCTATAATCTATAAATAATCTGGATTTGGAGAGTCACTCCATTTAGCTTTTTGCTGCAATCCAGACATGAGCAGGATATCCCCAGTTGGTCAATGGGAATTCCAGGATCCTAAAATGGAGGTACTGTACCATATAAGGCCATATTTTGTGGGGATATTCCCTTACATAGGCCTTACATAGGCCTTATATATGGTAGGTACCTCCAATTTAGGTTCCTGAAATGGCCATTGAGTTGGGGCACAACCACAGTCACACATGGCCATGAAAATTAGGCACTTCCGAAAAAACGTCTTAGCTGGGATGAAACTGGAGGTTCTAGAGGATATATTTCCTGGCTGGTGGTTGACCTACCCCTCTGAAAAATGATGGACTTCGTCAATTGGGATTATGACATTCCCAAGATATGGAAAAAACATGTTCCAAACCACCAGCCAGACATGTAGTTAAATATGCCATACATGGAGCATATGGGACCGTGAAGAAATCTTTGGCAAATTCACCGCCATCAATCCTTACATGTTGTGGTAATCAAACCTGGTTAGCTGGGAAATCCCCGCGCTAGATGGATGTTTAACGATGGGAACACCTTTGAACTAAACCCGTGGATTTTCCATTGTCACGTTCGATGACCAGAGGCTTAAATTTTTGGGGGGTGTTTGACGAGCCAACCAACTGATGTTGGTGATTCCATACATTTGCGTTATCCAAAATGTGTTTGCTCCTGTATACTAAGGAGTCCACAGCAGTTTTTTGCAGCCTGGAAAAAGGTGCAACAAATCTCACCATCAAGTGTGGATTTTTTCAACGTAAGCTGTCTCACAACAATGAAATATGAAATAGGAAGGGACAGCACAGCCAGGCTCCTGGGCTGCATGCTGTACACATCTTATGGTCTATAAGTGAAGGTAAAATTTGAGTACGCAGACAACTGCTCAGTTAAGTAACAAAAATATGGGGTTGCCTGAAAGTAGGATACATACGCATGGATACGCCTAATTCCGATGTACAGAACACAATCACCTTTTTGTGGGCTATATGTTTTCCTTGTATTCATTGCGGGCAAACCCCTCAGTTTGCCCGCGCCGACGCCGACAACATGCCCGAACATCAAAAAACACGGTGTTTTGTGGGAAAAACCCACATGTCCATGATCATGGTTTTCATGTTGCAAGGCACAGCTTAGCTACCTGTGCGTTGAATGTTACAACAACAACAACAACAACAACAACAACAACAACAACAACAACATCAACATCATCATCAGCATCATCATCGTCATCATCATCATCATCATCATCGTCATCATCATCATCATTGAGTGTAAAGTTTAACGGGGGTGGGAATTTATATTCCTAATACCCTTCTTGATCTTCCCAATTGAATGTAAAGTTCAACGGGGGTGGGAATTTATAATCCTAATACCCTTGTTGATCTTCCCAATTGAATGTAAAGTTTAACGGTGGTGGGAATTTACATTCCTAATGACCTTCTTGATCTTCCCAATTGAATGTAAAGTTTAACGGGGGTGGGAATTTACATTCCTAATACCCTTGTTGGTCTTCCCAATTGGATGTAACGTTTAACGGCGGTGGGAAATTTACATTCCTAATACCCTTGTTGGTCTTCCCAATTGAATGTAAAGTTTAACGGGGGTGGGAATTTATATTCCTAATGCCCTTCTTGATCTTCCCAATTGAATGTAAAGTTCAACGGGGGTGGGAATTTATAATCCTAATACCCTTGTTGATCTTCCCAATTGAATGTAAAGTTTAACGGTGGTGGGAATTTACATTCCTAATGCCCTTCTTGATCTTCCCAATTGAATGTAAAGTTTAACGGGGGTGGGAAATTTACATTCCTAATACCCTTGTTGGTCTCCCCAATTGGATGTAAAGTTCAACGGGGGTGGGGATTTACATTCCTAATGCCCTTGTTGCTCTTCCCAATTGAATGTGAAGTTTAACGGGGGTCGGAATTTATATTCCTTCAAAATCCCTAAGAAGTTGGGTGGGCGAACTGGGGGGTTTGCGCGATTCATTACATCACCATGTTTCCGCTTAAACGGCTATGCTTCCATGACAGCCAAACGAGTTACTTTAAATTTCAATATGTTTGATGCTTGTGTAAACCGGTTAGTCTAAATCTCGGTTAGTTGAAACCGCCACATCGACCAATCACGGTTGCCTCAGTCCAGGGCAGCTGAAAGTCGGCGCCAGTGTTGCCATGGATAGATCAAAATATGATGCCCAGGATGTCGGAAGATCAGGAGAACCCTGGAATGTCTGAGGATATTTCATGATATCTTCCGGATATCTCAGGATGAATCAGGATATCTCAGGATGTCGCAGATAGATCAAAACATGATGCTGCGGAAATCTCAGGATATCCTCGGTATATCTCAGGATATAACAAAATATCTCAGGCTAGATTAGGATATCTTGGGTTGGATCAGAATATATCAGAATATTCGAAGGTATCTCAGGATATCTTCAGGATGTCTCAGGATATCTCAGGACAGATCAGGATATCCTGAGAGTATCTCAGAATACATCAGGATATTTCAGGATGTTTCAAGATAGATCAACATATTAGCCCCAGGATGCCGAAAGATCAGGAGAACCGTGGAATGTCTGAGGATATTCCATGATATCCTCCGGATAACTCAGGATGAATCAGGATATCTCAGGATGTCGCAGATAGATCAAAACATGATGCTGCGGAAATCTCCGGATATCCTCGGTATATCTCAGGTCTCAGGATATCTCAGGATATAACAAAATATCTCAGGCTAGATTAGGATATCTTGGGTTGGATCAGAATATATCAGAATATTCGAAGGTATCTCAGGATATCTTCAGGATGTCTCAGGATATCTCAGGACAGATCAGGATATCCTGAGAGTATCTCAGAATAGATCAGGATATTTCAGGATGTTTCAAGATAGATCAAAATATGATGCCCAGGATGTCGAAAGATCAGGAGAACCCTGGAATGTCTGAGGATATTTCATGATATCCTCCGGATATCTCAGGATGTCTCAGGATATCTCAGGATGTCGCAGATAGATCAAAACATGATGCTGCGGAAATCTCAGGATATCCTCGGTATATCTCAGGATATAACAAAATATCTCAGGCTAGATTAGGATATCTTGGGTTGGATCAGAATATTCGAAGGTACCCCAGGATATCTTCAGGATGTCAGGATATGTCAGGACAGATCAGGATATCCTGAGAGTATCTCAGAATACATCAGGATATTTCAGGATGTTTCAAGATAGATTAACATATTATCCCCAGGATGTCGAAAGATCAGGAGAACCCTGGATCGTCTGAGGATATTTCATGATATCCTCCGGATATCTCAGGATGTCTCAGGATATCTCAGGATGTCGCAGATAGATCAAAACATGATGCTGCGGAAATCTCCGGATATCCTCGGTATATCTCAGGATATAACAACATATCTCAGGCTAGATGAGGATATCTTGGGTTGGATCAGAATATATCAGAATATTCGAAGGTATCTCAGGATAGCTTCAGGATGTCTCAGGATATCTCAGGACAGATCAGGATACCCTGAGAGTATCTCTGAATAGATCAGGATATTTCAAGATGTTTCAAGATAGATCAACATATTATCCCCAGGATGTCGAAAGATCAGGAGAACCCTGGATGTCTGAGGATATTTCATGATATCCTCCGGATATCTCAGGATGTCTCAGGATATCTCAGGATGTCGCAGATAGATCAAAACATGATGCTGCGGAAATCTCAGGATATCCTCGGTATATCTCAGGATATAACAAATTATCTCAGGCTAGATTAGGATATCTTGGGTTGGATCAGAATATATCAGAATATTCGAAGGTGTATCTCAGGATATCTTCAGGATGTCTCAGGATATCTCAGGACAGATCAGGATATCCTGAGAGTATCTCAGAATAGATCAGGATATTTCAGGATGTTTCAAGATAGATCAACATATTATCCCCAGGATGTCGAAAGATCAGGAGAACCCTGGAATGTCTGAGGATATTTCATGATATCTTCCGGATATCTCAGGATGAATCAGGATATCTCAGGATGTCGCAGATAGATCAAAACATGATGCTGCGGAAATCTCAGGATATCCTCGGTATATCTCAGGATATAACAAAATATCTCAGGCTAGATTAGGATATCTTGGGTTGGATCAGAATATATCAGAATATTCGAAGGTATCTCAGGATATCTTCAGGATGTCTCAGGATATCTCAGGACAGATCAGGATATCCTGAGAGTATCTCAGAATAGATCAGGATATTTCAGGATGTTTCAAGATAGATCAACATATTAGCCCCAGGATGCCGAAAGATCAGGAGAACCGTGGAATGTCTGAGGATATTCCATGATATCCTCCGGATAACTCAGGATGAATCAGGATATCTCAGGATGTCGCAGATAGATCAAAACATGATGCTGCGGAAATCTCCGGATATCCTCCTCGGTATATCTCAGGATATAACAAAATATCTCAGGCTAGATTAGGATATCTTGGGTTGGATCAGAATATATCAGAATATTCGAAGGTATCTCAGGATATCTTCAGGATGTCTCAGGATATCTCAGGACAGATCAGGATATCCTGAGAGTATCTCAGAATGATCAGGATATTTCAGGATCAGGATATTTCAAGATATGTTTCAATGATAGATAAAATATGATGTCGAAAGATCATGTCGAAAGAACCCTGGAAGTCTGAGGATATTGTCATGAGGATATCATGATATCCTCCGGATATCTCAGGATGTCTCAGGATATCTCAGGATGTCGCAGATAGATCAAAACATGATGCTGCGGAAATCTCAGGATATCCTCGGTATATCTCAGGATATAACAAAATATCTCAGGCTAGATTAGGATATCTTGGGTTGGATCAGAATATTCGAAGGTACCCCAGGATATCTTCAGGATGTCAGGATATGTCAGGACAGATCAGGATATCCTGAGAGTATCTCAGAATACATCAGGATATTTCAGGATGTTTCAAGATAGATTAACATATTATCCCCAGGATGTCGAAAGATCAGGAGAACCGTGGAATGTCTGAGGATATTCCATGATATCCTCCGGATAACTCAGGATGAATCAGGATATCTCAGGATGTCGCAGATAGATCAAAACATGATGCTGCGGAAATCTCCGGATATCCTCGGTATATCTCAGGTCTCAGGATATCTCAGGATATAACAAAATATCTCAGGCTAGATTAGGATATCTTGGGTTGGATCAGAATATATCAGAATATTCGAAGGTATCTCAGGATATCTTCAGGATGTCTCAGGATATCTCAGGACAGATCAGGATATCCTGAGAGTATCTCAGAATAGATCAGGATATTTCAGGATGTTTCAAGATAGATCAAAATATGATGCCCAGGATGTCGAAAGATCAGGAGAACCCTGGAATGTCTGAGGATATTTCATGATATCCTCCGGATATCTCAGGATGTCTCAGGATATCTCAGGATGTCGCAGATAGATCAAAACATGATGCTGCGGAAATCTCAGGATATCCTCGGTATATCTCAGGATATAACAAAATATCTCAGGCTAGATTAGGATATCTTGGGTTGGATCAGAATATTCGAAGGTACCCCAGGATATCTTCAGGATGTCAGGATATGTCAGGACAGATCAGGATATCCTGAGAGTATCTCAGAATACATCAGGATATTTCAGGATGTTTCAAGATAGATTAACATATTATCCCCAGGATGTCGAAAGATCAGGAGAACCCTGGATCGTCTGAGGATATTTCATGATATCCTCCGGATATCTCAGGATGTCTCAGGATATCTCAGGATGTCGCAGATAGATCAAAACATGATGCT